GAAGAATGGGGAAAATATGTTAAGGAAAATGGGGGGAAAGTATGGAGAAAGAAAGAAAGAGAAAAATAAGTTAAGAAATGGGGAAAAGTATAGAGAAAGAGAGAAAGAGAAAATATGTTGAGGAATGGGGAAAAATAGATGAATAAGGAAGAATGGGGAAAAATATGTTAAGGAATGGGGGAAAAGTAATGGAAGAAAGAAAGAGAAAAGATATGTTAAGGAATGGGGAAGAAATAGATGAATAAAGAAAGGAAGAATGAGAAAAATAGTAAAGAAATAGAAAAAGATGTAGAAGAGCAAGAAAGAGAAAAATAAGTTTAAAGAAATGGGGAAAAGTATAGAGAAAGAGAGAAAAGAGAAAAATAAATTGTTGAGGAATGGGGAAGAAATAGATGAATAAAGGAAGAATGACAGAAAAATTATAAGTTAAAAATTGAAAAAATAAGGATTGAGAAAAAAAATAAGATGATTAAAGAAGAAAAGATTATAGAGAAGAAAGAAAGACCAAATGAGTAAGAAATAGAAAAAAATTAAATGTAATAAAGAAAGAATAGAGAAAATTAAGTAAAGAGTGGGAGAAAAATGATTAAGAAAGAGAAAATAAGGTAAAGAACATGTGAAAAAAATAGGATGAATTAAAAAGAGAGAAAGAGAAAAATAAGTAAAAAAAAAAAATCAAAAAATAGATTAACAAAGAAAGAAGAAGAGAAAAAATAAAGTAAAATTGAAAAAAAAATAGATTAACAGACAGAAAGGAAGAAAAAAGGTAAAAAATGGGAAAATTAGATTGATAAAGAAAGAAAAAAGAGAAAAATAATAAGAGAAACTAAAAAATAGATGAATAAAAAATAGAAAAAACTAGAATAAATAAAGAAGAGAAAATTAAAAAGAATAAATGGAATAGATATAGGATTTCCAAAATTTGTAAACGATTTGAAATTGAATTTTATCTTACCAGCATACGTTATTGAAAATCCAAAAATATCTTCTTTCTTTCCTTTCTTTCTCTCTCTCTCTCTCTCTCTCTCTCTCTCCTCTCTCTTCTCTCTCTCATCTCCTCTCTCATCATCATCTCTCTCGCCTCCTCTCATCCGCCTCGCTCTCTCCACTTCTCTCTCATCCGTTCTCGCTCTCTCTCCTTCCCTCTCTCCTGTCTCTCTCTCCTCTCTCTCCTCTCTCTTCTCCCTCCTCTCTCTCTCCGTTCTCTCTCTCTCTCTCTCTCTCTCACTCACCTCTCTATTCTTCTCTCACTCACTCTCTCTTTTCTCCGTTTCTTTATCTGATAAATCTATTGATATGTAAGATAAAATACAAACCTTTTATAAAAGTAAATGATGTGATTAAACCATTCTATTCACCATTAAAAGCATTTAATTCTGACAACGCATATCAGCAACGGGATTTTTCCTCTCGTATGAAGGGATTTCATTTGCGACAAAAATTATTTATCGCGCAGGTTTGTCCTTTATCTTGGGGCAAGCAGACGACCCTCAGACCGTCGTGCAGCAGGTGCAGATGGAGCTATTAAGTAAGTAGTCTCTTCTCTGTCTCTCTCTTTTTTTTCTCTCTTTCTCTGGTGTCTTCTCTCTTTTCTTTCTCCTCTTTCCTCCTTTCTTTCTTCTTCTTTTTTCTTCTTGGGGGCCAAGCAGAGACCCTCAGACCCCGTCCCATGCAGCGGTGCAGATGAAGCATTAGTAATAAGCTTTTTCTGTCTCTCTCTGCTTCTCTTCCTCTTTTTCTCTTTTTTCTTTCTCTAATGTCTTTCTCTTTCTGCTCTGTCTCTCTTCTCCTTTTTTTTTTTTCTTTCTCTTTTTTTCCTCTTGGGGCCAAGCAGAAGACTCCTCAGACCCCCCCCCCCATGCAGCGGGTGGCAGATGACCGCATTAGTAATAAGCCCTTTTCTTTCTCTGGTCCTCTTTCCTCTTTTTCTCTGTCTCTTTTTCCTCTTTTTTCTCTCTCGGGGCCAAGCAGACAACCCATCAGCCCCCNGCGGTTCGAAGGTGAGGGAACGAGGGAGGTCGAAGGTGAGGGAACGGCCGGGCGGTTGAAGGTGAGGGAAACGCCCGGCGGTCAGTGTGCGGAACGAGGAGGCAGCGGTCAAGTGAGGATCTGGCCGGCGAGTCGAAGGTGACGGGAAACGGCCGGGCGTGTCTCGAAGGTGAGGAACGGCCGCGGCGGTTGAAGGTGAGTGAACGCCGCGGTTCGAAGTGTGAGGGAAACGGCGGGCGGTCGAAGTGTAGGAACGAGGGAGCGTCGAAGGTGCAGGGAACGCCGGGCGATGAAGGCGAGGAACGGCCGGGCGGTCGAACGTGAAGGAACGGCCGGCAGGTCGAACGGTGAGGGAAGGCCGGGCGGTCGAAGAGGTGAAGGGAACGAGCGGAGGTCGAATGTGATGACGCGCGTCGTCTGAAGGCACTAGGAACGGCCGCTGTTCCGAAGTGAGTGAAACGCCGGGCGGTTCGGAAGGTGAGGAGAACGCGGGCGGATCGAGTAGGGAACGATGGAGGTTTCGAAGGTTGAGGAACGGCCGGCGGTCGAAGTGAGGAACGGCCGGGCGTCGAAGGTGGAGGAAGGCCGGGCGTCGATCGACAGTGAGGGAACGAGGAGTCGAAGCGATGGGAACGGCGGCGCGTCGAAGGTGAGGGAACGCAGGAGGTCGAAGCGTGAGGAACGAGGGAGGTCGAAAGGTGAGGAACGGCCGGGCGGTCGAAGTGAGGGACGAGAGGTCGAAGGTGAGGGAACGGCCGGGCGGTCGAAGGTGAGGAACGTGAGGACGAAGTGAGGAACGAGGGAGGCGGTAAGGTAGGGAACGAAGGCGTTGAGGAACGGCCGGGCGGTCGAAGGTGACCGGGTCGCGTGAGGGAACGAGGGACGGCGAAGGTGAGGGAACGGCCGCGGCGGTCGAAGGTGAGGGAACGAGGGGTCGAAGGTGAGGAACGCCGGGGTCGAAGGTGCAGGAACGGCCGGGCGGTCCTAAGAACTGAGGGAACGGCCGGGCGGGCGAAAGAGTGAGGACGGCGGGCGGTGTGATGTGAGGGAACTGCGGCGGCGTGAATGTGAGGAACGCCGGGCGGTCGAAGCGTGACGGGACGCCGGGCGTCGAAGGTTGAGGAACGGCCGGGCGCTGAAGGTAGGAACGGCCGGGCGGCGTGAAGCGTGAGGAACGTCCGCGGCTAGCGAAAGGTGATGGAACGAGGGAGGTCGAAGCGAGGGGAACGCCGGGCTTCGAATGTTGAGGGAAGAGGGAGTCGAAGTGAGAACGAGGGAGCGTCGAAGTTTGAGGGAACGCCGGGCCCGGTCGAAGGGAGGAAACGGCCGGGCGTCGAAGGTGAAGGAACGGCACGCGGCGGTTTCGAGGTGAGGAACGGCGTGCGGTCGAGGTTGAGGGAACGGCCGGGCGGTCGAAGGTGAGGGAACGGTCGGGCGTCGAAGGTGAGGGAACGGCCCGCGGTCGAAGGCTGAAGACGGCCGCGGTCGAATGTGACGGAACGGCCGGCGGTCGAAGTTGAGGGAACGGCCGCGGTCGAAGTGAGGAAACTGCCGGGCCGCGTTCGAAGTGACGGAACGAGGACGTCGAAGGTGAGGGAACTGGCCGGCGTCGAAAGGTGATGAACGGGGAGGCGACGGCCGGGCGGAAAGTGACGAACGGCCGGGCGTCGCGGTGAGGGAAAGGGAGTGAATGGTGGAACGGCCGGGCGGTCGAAGGTGAGGGAGGACAAAGGTTGAGGAAGCCGGGTTCGAAGGTGAGGGAAAGGTGAGGGAACGGGCGGTTGAAGGTGAGGGAACGGCCGGGCGGTTGAAGGTGAGGGAACGGCCGGGCGGTCGAAGGTGAGGGAACGGCCGGGCGGTTGAAGGTGAGGAACGGCGGGTGAAGGTGAGGGAACGGCCGGGCGGTCGAAGGTGAGGGAACGGCCGGGCGGTCGAAGGTGAGGGAACGGCCGGGCGTTCAACGGTCGAGGAACGAAGCGGAGTCGAGGTGAGGGAACGGCGGGCGGTCGAGGTAGGGAAACGATGGAGTCGAAATGTTGAGGAAACGCCGGGCAGTCGAAGGTGAGAAAACGGAGGTCGAAAAGTGAGGAGGGAACGCTGCCGGGCGGCGAAGGTGAGGAACGAGCCGAGTCGAAGGTTGAGGGAACGAGGACGTCGAAGCTGAAAGGGAACGGCCGGCGGTCGAAGCGGAGGAACGAGGGAGGTCGAAGGTGAGGGAACGAGGGAGGTCGAAGGTGAGAAACGCCGGCGGTCGAAGTGAGAACGCCGGGCGGTTCGAAGTGAGGAACGAGGATGGTCAAGGTGAGGAACGCCGGCCGGTCGAAGGTGAGCGGAACGGGAGTCGAAGGGAGGGGAACGAGGGAGTCGAACGGTCGAGGGAACCGCCGGGCGTGAACGGTGAGAACGGCCGGCGTCGAAGGTGAGGAACCGAGGAGGTCGGAACGTGCAGGAACAGGGAGTCGAATTGACGGAACGCCGGCAGGTCGAAGGTAAGGAACGGCCCGCGCCGTGTCGAATAGGGAAACGAGCGTTCGAAGGTGAGGAACGAGGGAGTCGAAGCCGTGAGGATCGCCGGCGTCGAAGCTCGAGCGGACAGCCGGGCGATTCGAATGGTTGAGGAACGAGGCGTCGAAGTGAGGAACGAGAGTCGAAGGGAGGGAACGGCCGGGCTGGTCGAAGGTAGAGAAACGCCGGGCGTTTGAAGTGAGGGAACGAGCGGTCGAAGGTGAGATCGCGCGGCCGGTCGAAGGTGAGGAACGCGGCGTTCGAGTGAGGGGAAACGAGGCGCTTTCGAGGTAGGAACGAGGCGACGTCGAAGTGATGATCGGGCCGGCGGTCGAACTGGTAGGGAACGGCGGGCGTACGAATGAAGGGGAACAGGAGGTCGAACGTGAGAACGAGGGAAGTCGAAGTGATGGAAACGCCGCGGCGTTCGAAGTGAGGGAACGGCCGGGCGTCGAAGGTGAGGAACGAGGCCCGTGTCGAAAGGGAGGAAAACGGGGGGAGGGAGAGGCGAAGTTGAGTCGGCCGGCGTTCGAAGTGAGGGAACGGCGGCGGTTTCGAAGGGTGAGGAACGCAGGAGGGTCGAAGTGAGGAACGAGGGCGGTCGAAGTGAGGACGAGGGAGGTCGAAGGTGAGGAACGCGGGCGGTCGAAAGGTGAGGAACGGCCGGGCGTTCGAAGTGAGGAAACAAGGCTCGAAGGTGGAGGAACGAGGATGTCGAAAGGTTAGAACGCCGGCGGATTCGAAGGTGAGCGAACGTAGGGAGGTCGAAGGTGAGGAACGGCGGTGCGTCGAATTGAGTGCAACTGCCGGCGTCAAGGGGCCGGGCGGTTTGAAGGTGAGGGAACGGGCCGGTTCGAAGGTGAGGGAACGGGGCGGTCGAAGTGAGGGAACGAGGGAGGTTGAAGGTGAGGGAACGCCGGGCGGTCGAAGGTAGAGGAACGAGGGAGGTCGAAGGTGAGGGAACGGCCGGGCGGTCGAAGGTGAGGAACGAGGAGGTTGAAGGTGAGGGAACGGCCGGGCGGTCGAAGGTGAGGGAACGAGGGGCGTTGAAAGTGAGGGAACGGCCGGGCGGATCGAAGGTGACGAGGAACGGCGGGGAAGTCTTTTGGGGCCGTGTTTGTTTGTGTGGTTCGTTCGTTGTGTGATTTCGGTTTGTTTTGGTCTGTGTAGGTCTGCTTTTTATTTGTTTTGTTTGTTCATTTATTTGCTTGTTTGTTTTTTGTTCACTTATTTGTTAGTGTATTTGTTCATTTATTCGTATATATGTGTGTATGTTAAGTGCATATTAATGTATGATTAGTAATTTTTTTTTTTTTTTTTGGTAATTTTGTTTATTGATTGATTCATTGATTTGAATTGTTTATTTCTTATTTATTTGTTTATGTTGCGCGTAGAGTCAATGAGAGGACGTGATAGGGCGAGGGAGAGGGAAAGACAGGTGGTGCGTGTGTGCGCCGAAGGAATGAGAACAGGTGGTGCTGACGAGACCGCGGGGCTGAGGTCGAGGTTGTGCAGCGTGTGAACAGGTCATGTACAGGGGCGCTGAGGACAGGTTGTGCACAGGAGCCAGCGTGCACAGGGAGAAAGCAGCGCGCACAGGGAGAAAGAGTTGGGACAGGGAGAAAGCAGCGCGCACAGGGAGAAAGAGTTGAGGGCAGTTGGGACAGGCGGGCGCAGTTCCGACAGCGGTGTGGAAGCCAGTCGTTGCAGGAAAGGCTGTTAAAAATAGAATGCGATGGAGGTATGGGTGCGCATAGGAGATGTAGAGGAACTAGGGTGTGGGTGTACGTGGTGTACTGGGAGGCGTAGGAATTGAGAGGGAGCACGTGGTGTACAGTGCACGGGCGGGTTGAGGGGGGGGGGATTGTTCACCTAACAGGCGAGACGGCAACACCACCACCGCCACACCGGCCGCGTGTTTTAGAGGCAGACACTCGGTCGCTCTTGACTTATTGATCATCGTCGGGGTGTCTGGCCGTCAGTCTGGCCGTCCACAAGACCTCCACATTGCAGACCAACGCAGCGGGGATTTCTTGGCCGTCGAGGGAGCGAGCGAGGTCTATAGAAGTTACGTAAATCTTGGGGGGGGGGGGGCGTGTCCTTGCGTCAGGAATGCGCGCCCGGGCGGACTTCGCTCTCGATGTTATTTCGCGTGTGTGGCTTGGCATTTTTTTTTTCTTCTTCTCGCTGTACTTTTGTATTAATTGGCAGTGTTTATTTCTTTAGGGTTGATAATGTCTTTGTTGCATTTCTTTCTTCCATATATTTAAAGACATTGTCATTTCTTCCAAGACGATGAGCATTTAAAATTCTGCTGTCGCAGCTGTTCTTCACAAAGGCCAACAATTCTTAGCCTCGTGTGGTATGGCAAGGTAGTGATTGAACTCGTTCCTCAATTGACGATGGAGCGCATGCTCTATCTTACAAGAATCACACGTGCTGGTGGTGACTCACCACGCCCCGACCCTTTTAAATACGGGAGTTAAATATCCGATTGTTCTGATGTCTTTCCCTCGTGCAGACCGATGCACATCTGTCCTTTAAATCACCTTTCTCTTCCTTTTATAAACCTTACTCTGGACGTTGGCCTTAATTTAGCCCAGTTCTAAGCACGACATGAAGCAGGAAATTCCCTTCCTCTCCTGTGTTTACGTGCTATAAACAGCGGCTGGAACAAAGGCGTCTGTGGACCATCAACCGACGCCGCTTTCTGGGATGGCTTCGTCCTCGTGGGATAGGCGCTGGGATGGAGTGACGTGCTTTCGACAATGCGGCGTTTGTGGCTGATTTGATGCAGCTGATGTTTATGGAAACTTAATTTAGATTAGTGTGTGGTTTGTTTTTATTTCGGTCGTGTTGTATTAGAGTTTGATTATTGATTAAGAAGGCATAGATAGATGTGCTAGAATCTAGAGCAGGATTTTCCAACCTGGGGGCCACGGGGTACTCCTCTCCCCGGGGGACCGAGGAGCAATGTGAAAATTATGACGTCGAATTAAAACGAATTTTACATATAACGCATTAGTCCCTACTTTTAATTATCTCTCGAAAATGAATCGGAGTCTTTAAGTGTTCTTGTACTGCAGATTTTGACACCAGTACGTTCTTCGTGTGAAATGTGAATCCGAAAAGATGACAGACACTGAAGGGGCCCTGGAGGGTTTCGAGTATGGGTCGGAGGAGGGAAGAGGCTGTGGGAATTATGGTCGTCATTATCATTGCCATCACCACCACCATCATCATCATCATCATCATCATCATCATCATCATCATCATCATCATCATCATCATCATCAAACATCATCGTCACCTCTCACCCACCACCACCACTATCACCATAATCACCCTCATCATCACCACCACCATGACCATCACCATCATCATCATTAGCTTCATTATATGATAGACCAACAGTCCATCGTTCGACCATTGACTACGTTCGGGTTCCAAGAGATTTTGATATAAAAGGAAGTTTCAGAAACGCCAACGATGGTGATGAATCGGTGTTGCCGTGTGCGGATTCTGGCGTCAGGGGGCGGGGGGGGGGGGGAGGTGATGCCATGGGTACAGAACATGATACCCTGGACGAAGGACGTCTGCAGCGGTGCGGGTTGTAGGTGAAGTTGTCATGGCACGTGGGCTGGCGTGCGGGAAGTGGATGAGAAAGGAGGTGTGTGTGTGTGTACACATATACATGTAATAATATATAATATATATATATATATATATATATATATATATATATATATATATACATATACAATATATATAATATGTATATCATATATATATTAAATAATATAATATAATATAATGTTTTTTTTTTTTTTACTGGGGAAGTGTATATGTTTTGTGATTTTTTTTTTTTTTTTTTTTTTTTTTTTTTTTTTTTGGTGTGTGTGTGTGTGTGTGTGTGTGTGTGTGTGTGTGTGTGTGTGTGTGTGGTGTGTGTGTGTGTGTTGTGTGCACTTGTGTATGTGTGTGATACTTGTGTTCATGTGTTGTGTGTTCATGTGGTGTGTGTGTGTATGTGCATGTGGGTATGTGTGTGTGTACATGTGTGTGTGTGTGCTTGTGCGTGTGTGTGTGTGTGCGCACGCATTTGCATTCCTGCATGTATGTGTGTGTGTATGTGCTTGATAGGGTGTACGTGTATTCCTATATTGTATTTGTTGCGCACTTGGCATGATGGCAATCTTTTTGGTATTTGTAGCAAAATATTACTAAGGTCTGGAAAAGGAGATGCCAAACTTTAGAATAACAAAATGATTCATGATTATCACATTATTCATAATGAGAGAAAGATGTGAACTCAACGGAAGGAAGGAACAGGATTATGAAATGAGAGCAAAATATGGAAGCAGACTGGAAGCACATACCATGATAGAGAAGTTTTTGATGGGTGAAAGAAAATAACTAGAAATAAAGACCTGAAAAGATGCTGTAGTAATGCATTCCGGTAGATGGCAGTGTGCCATTGCTTCCCTCTTTAGTGCCTTTGTATGGCATTTCTTGAATATTTTATCTCCAGCTCTGAACTGAAGTTAATTTTCCTTTTAATTGTTATAGGGTTTTAAATTCCGTCAGATGCGAGTTACAGGCCTGCTTAAAGTAGAATTTTTATTGTCACTCGTATTCTTATGAGGTTTCATTTTGTTATTCCGGCTCTACTGTTAAGGATTTCTTTTTGCTTCAAATTTACATTTCACTACACTTAATTTATATATATAAAGAATATAATTCTGTTCTGTAGTAATGTACAGGTGTATACTTCAAACCTTTTACCTGAAAATATTGTTGCTTCCATCAAAATGCTTAATGTATATTTTCTTTCAGAGGAGCTTCATTTTCTTCCACCTTTGACTTTTAATAGGGTTATCAAATGAGTGAATGGATATGAGAATTGCCTCAGATACCTCAGTACTTTAACATTTGCTTAATGTAATAATTACAGCAAACAGATTTTTTAGCAGTACTTTTACATAGAGTGAAATGAAAGATGAATACTTTGTAATATAATGTCTTTTCTCTCTCCTTCAGCACCTGCACCATCCTCTGTGATGTCCATGTTAGGCACAAAATGCATTGACAAGAACTACAAGAACACTCAGTGGTACTGGAGTCGCGGAAAGCAGCCGTGCAAAAGCATTGGTGACTTCGACAGCCCCATCGTTGAGGAGCAGATGATCAGTGCCAATCACATCATCTTCAGTTTCCAGGTTGGTCGGTTGCCTCTGTTAGTGCAGGATGGTTGAGGACTATGAAAGACTATGATAGTCCTTGAAATGGTCCTTATACTCGTAACTCATCATGATGAAGAAAGGTCGAGCTGTCTGCAAGGAATTCAGGTAGGCTTTATGATTATAGGAAGAATGATAGAGGTGATATTTTGCTAGACTTTTGGTAGCTGTTATGACATGTAGTCTATCTTTGCAAAAATATGATTCATGTATATTCTAATTTGGAATATTCATAGAATGCCTTGGCTGTTTCTTGGCTTTTATAGATATATGATTATTGTTGCAAAAATCTGAACTTATTTCCTTTGATATGCTATTTTATTCTTGTCGTCATATGTAGGTATCACTCGCTTTGAGAAGTGTCTAAAAAAGAATCGCAGTCATTGCCCATGTTGAAAGGGGGTGTGAGCAAGAATTAGATATTTCACATGCAGGAAATGCACTTTTTAGAGAGACATAAATCTAATTAAGACTGGATATCAATACATTAACTTTTTTTTTTAAGTGATTAGAATGTTCGTGTGTCCTATGTTTTACTTTAACTGGAAGTAAAAGTTGAAAAAAAGGTTTATTCTCATCAGAATATATAGCAGATCTGTTACCATATGCATATGTACTGTCTTTAGGTAGGAAGAAATTGTAATTAATTCTATGTTAAAAAAAAGTAGAATTGAGAGAAAATATGTAAGAAAACACTTCAGCAAGACTCCATATGATTTAGAGAATTTAAATGATATATTTTTCCTAGAATTGATCTCTGTATATTAATTTGACTACAGAATGATAAGAACTGAGGGTAGCTCCATGGAACTTGGCAGAACAGAATTGTTAATGAATAGTTTGAAGAGATTACAAGTGTCCTATAATGAGTTCTGTGCCTGCAGATTCCTATTCCTAAGGATGGCTATCCCCTGGACTATTCCCGCTGGCAACAGAACCTAATTGCAATGCTGCATCTGGATATTCTCTATGATGATGAGGATGAAGTGGGTAAGTGCCGTCCATGTTTTTAGCTCCAGCTTTACTTTGAGTATTTTTCTTTTGTTTGTAGGCTGTTGTTTAAGCAATTCATATTTATTGTTTGCAAAATTCAGGTAGAAGTTTCAGTGAAAGTGTTGGCCTCTAAATGGAAAAATATTAATAGCTCTGTTTTGCCTTGACAGCACCAGATGCCGTGATGACCCTAGATGCTCGCTTGGGCTACAGCAATCGGGGCGATCCAGAGGGACAGTGGACAGAATATGCCTCGTCTGTTGAGCAGCGGCATTTAGACTGTTGTATTGAACAGAAAAAGCCAGGTTACATGTATAATTGCTCGCATGTGCCACTCTTTGAACTGGGATCTCTACACCATGACTTCTATCTCTTGAATGTCCGTCTGCCAGTGGACATGTTAGATACATCCGAAAAAACTGGTATGAACACAAAACTCGGCCACATCAATGACATGTGGGTTGCGGTAAGTTTGAAGGCCAAACCCCCATCAGTAGGGGTTCAGGCATGTAATAACATTTGTATTATACAGATGCTAATGTAGACACTTTGTTGAATGAGATTTAAGAATGGACATTTATGGAATATATTTATGCATGCAATCATTTTTAGAAAAAAAAAAAAAGTCTGGAAAATGCTTATTCTTATAGTTATAGTTGTTACAATATTACACATCGTAAGAATATGATTGATGATATATCATGTGATTCTTGTATACGTCAGTTGAGCAACTGCCTTTGGAAATCTTACAGTGTCTCAGTAGCATATACAGTTAGTTGAACCAAGTACAACAATATAGATTACATTCCTCAGCCAGATGTGCTATAAGGAATAATCAGTTTTAGAATGAAATGGTAAAATCAAATTGGAAATGGATGATGATTTCGCAAGCAAAGAAGGCAATAGTTTGACTTGGTATGAAACAACTGTACTTTCAAAGACACTCCTGTATTTTTTAATTTACTTATTAAGCATTTTCTATTTCTTTCAGTTCATCCACCAAAATGGAGGGTTCACCAAAGTGTGGGTGTCCCTCAAGACCATCTTCTTCCCGATTATCGTGGCCATCATGGTCTGGTTCTGGCGTCGCATCTCGCAGCTTTCCCGTCCACCAGCACTCTTAGAGTACATGCTGATGGTGCTCGGTGCTGCTCTCACACTACTGAATTGTAAGTCTGTCTGTAATCTGAGCTAAAGAAAAAATTTAAATATTAGCATGGATGAATTAGTAGATAGTTATTACATATTGAATGAGATATTTTATATATGTGTATTATATATGAGATAATTATTCTTAGTTATAATTGATTATTCATTATTATTGATTATGATGATGTGATTATTGTCATTGTAATTATTTACCTATTGGATCTGGGTGTCATAGGCATCTGATCATGAAAAAAATTGGCAGAGGGCTTTGGTGATGGGAATGTCTCACCCACCATAGGTTATTGTTGAGGTTTATTCATTGTGACAAATGTAGGAAAGGCATGAATGAGATTGAATATCTTCACAATAAAAGAGATGCAGGTTTCAGTTGTAACTTTGTCAGAAATACATAAGTATTTTTGATGAGGCTGTTGTTGCTAAATGGTGGGCCACTAAGACATCTCACCATGAGTTAAGAATGATTCAGTGGCCCTTTTAAAACTGGCTCTTGCATTACTTCCAGTAGGCAAGCTTGGGAGAGTGCCAGCTCTAGGGATAAACCTATTCCTGACCACCATTATCAGTGGTATAGAAAATTGAATAATGCAAAAATCTTTTTTAAATTATGCAAATAACATAATGTTATCAATTGTAACTGTTATTGCACAGAGTGTAAACTACCTGGAGAGATAATTTGGTGTCTGCTCACCAAAAACAGTCAATTATTGTGGGAGAAAAACCCACAATGCACAAACTAGATTTATTGGCTTCTCTTTCAATAAATCTAGTTTTTGCATTGTGGGTTTTTCTACCATAGTATCAACACGGTAGAGTGTTTTTTTCCATTCAGTCAATTATTATTATGATACATTATAATGAATGACAGATATAGATGTCAGAAAATGGCAAAACTGCAAAATTGTGTCAGCAGAAGATCTAATAGCATTGCAAAGAGTAGAGAAGGAGTCTTGAAACCACACTCATGTTCATGTGGTCTGGGCCTACAAGTCACACACCTGAGAGAGGTACCACTGAAGTATGTTCAATGGCCAGGTTTTGGTCTAAAGTGTGAGGTATAAAGCACCATATCCAATGGGTCAACATCCATTAATTATTATTAATCACCACCACCATCATCAGCATCAGCATCAACCTGAATCTGGATGCATTACTTTCAGGTCCACTGGAGTACCTGACCTTAGCATTCGACTGCCCGTGGATGACTGTGGTCAGTGACATCAGGCAGGGACTTTTCTATGCCTCCCTGCTCTCATTTTGGCTTATCTTTGCTGGTGAACATCTGATGGTGGGTAATACAGAGATCATCCCCCCCCCCCAAAAAAAAAAATAGATTGTCAATAACAGTAACTAAGAATATTTGCATAGGCTTTCATTGTGAATATAGATTAACAAGCATATTCTCACATTGGTACACATTTGCAAAGATACATATTCCTTGTTACACACAGATACTCAAAGACACTTGAATGCACCCATATAGTTGTGTGTGCACAAACATAGACACATACTGACAGACACATGCAAACACACATGTACAGACACACACACAACCCAAACTCACACGTGTGTGTGTGTGTGTGTGTGTGTGTGTGTGTGTGTGTGTGTGTGTGTGTGTGTGTGTGTGTGTGCTTATGTGTTTGGCCTACATGTGTGTGTAGATAGGTTAAAAAATGTACAGAATAGGTCTGTCATGTTTATGTAATATAAAAAAATACAAAAGTATGTTGAATTATACTGTGCATATTGAAATTATCTGAGTATAGTATTGGCATCACATGTTATGTAAATAATTTTGAATGGAGTACAGTTTGTAAGCATGGTTTGACCTGAGATTCCCTTACCATAAAATAGCATGCAGTGTTAAGGTTGTTGAAAGACTAACAACAAAATATTCAACACCTCTTGTTTTTGCTCTTCTCTTTCTCGGTGGCTGATGACGACCTTGGCAGATTGCGGTAAGATCCTTGCTTTTGGCGAATTTTATTCCCTTTTTCCACCCTTTTACAGCATCATGGTGTGTGTGTGTGTGTGTGTGTGTGTGTGTGTGTGTGTGTGTGTGTGTGTGTGTGTGTGTGTGTGCGTGTGTGCGTGCGTGCGTGCGTGCGTGCGTGCATGTGTGAGTGTGTGCGTGTGTGCGTGTGTGTGTGTATGTGTGTGTGTGCGTGTGTATTTGCTTGATTGGTTATGCTGAATTTTGTTATCCTATTCATGTGGCAAAGGGTTAGTTTACAATTTTTATTTTGATTCAATCCACCTAAACTCTTGAAACATTGCATCATAGATTGCATTACCTAAATGGTGAGATAAACTTAAGGACAGCTTTGAATATCTGGCTTTCAGTACCTTCTCTAGGTCCCTTCCCATTCTTCCTCTTCTTCATCCACTTCTATTTCTTTTTGTTCTTCATTTTCCTCTTCTTCTTCTTCTCCTTGCCTTGTTCTGTTTTCCCTTTGCATTTGTTGGGTTAGAATATGGCACTAAAATATTTGCTTTTAAGTTTCGTCAGTGGATTTATGAGAAGTAAATATATCAACTATTAGCCTATTTGTGTTTTCTTGTAGCAGAGCCTGAATAATTTGAAAAAAATCAAGTTGGTGATTTGACAATGATCAGAGAATGAAATGATACTAAAATTTTGAAAATGCTTACCCTCTTGATGGAAAACAAAATGGATAATTCATGATCCTCTGCTGTTTCCTCAGGATGACATTGAGCGTAACCGCATTCGTGTCTATTGGCGTCACCTGAGTGCTGTCCTCGGAGGGTGTCTGTGTCTCTTCATCTTCGATATGTGCGAACGTGGAGTGCAGCTGCGCAATCCCTTCTATTCCATCTGGGCAACAGAAATCGGAACTAACTTGGCTCTGGCCTTTATTATCTTGGCAGGCGTTTGCGCTGGTCTCTACTTCTGCTTCCTCTCATACATGATATGGAAGGTAAGTTTTGCTCGTCTTTCTCCGCCTCGTCCGTGTTAAGATGGGGTGAGTGTTTCTTATGGTGTACATCTATGGAACTAGATTGTTTCTGACTGTCAATATACTTCAAAAGAAAAAAAATTTTAATAGGAAAGAATGTTTAAAGAAGACTGACATTGCAAGCTTAT